TCAAGAGGTAGGGCTGAAAATATTAAGAAATGGGACACCACTACTACACCGTTACACATCATCATACGTCGTCGCTAACTCCTACGTCAAAGAAAATGCGCAGATGTTTATCACAAACTTCCAAGATGCCGTTGGTAGCTGCAGTGATCTCAGTTGTGTGGGTTACCGCTATTTTTTTTTGCATTTGTCTTGTGCACTTCGCAGTGCACCTGTTACACTGAATGAACTCGAACAAACTGCATATTCGGGACAAAAGACAGTGTCAGTGTCTTTACCACCCTTAGGCGCTTAAACTGCCCTCAAAGGTGCTAAAAAAACATTTACACCTGCACCAGATCATCTTGACAGGAAACATCACAACAGCCTGGCTTGGGAACAGCACCAAACAGGTTCTGTGCATGGCTGTGTGCATGACTCGTGTTATACCACATGCTTTACTGGATTCAGGCAATACGGTAGAAGAACTGATATAACAGTTTATTTCATTAAATAGTCAAAGGGTTTATTGTTTATTCAGGCTGTTTAATAGTTTCTTTATGAGGTTTGACATGTTGAATATGAAAATCACATTACTTTTTGTGTATCATTAACAGTATGTTGACAACTTATACTAAGCTAGTATTACTCATACATAAAAATGTATGACTAGACCCACAATGTTCTAGAATGTTCCAGAAAGCACTAGAACATTTCAGAATATTCCAGAATGTTACAGAAACTTCTAGAATGTTCCCATCCTTGCAAAAGGAAACTATATATAAAACGGGCAAAATTAGTTTAATAAACTTAGGCTATCTGTATAAACCAATGTTTCATAATTAATGCTAGAAGCTGACCTAAATGTTTACCAAATCATTGATGTTACATGATAATAAACAGTACAGTAATACGAGTAACAGAACCATAAAAAATTTAACTAAAACAAATTTGTTACATTGTGTACAATAAGCCCTCTCTGCATTCAGATGGTTTATTTTGTTATGTAAAGAGTGTGTAAATATCTACCCTATGATGTAAAATGGACATGCCAATGTATCGTTTCAAATTCTTTGTGTATGGCGCAATCTGCTGGTCATCTTGCACAGTGTAGAATGCCAACCATTTCAACACTCAAATGATAATTATGAGAATATTACAAAATATTAATTAAAACATTTTTTATGATGTATTATGCCTAACTATAGCGTGATCCTAATATATATATATATATATATATATATATATATATATAGCTATTATTATTATTGTTATTTACTAAAATTGTGTTTGGATTTTAAAACATTTAAATTATATATATTA